TCACGTAACTTCTGCATGGTTTTCCACAAAGTAGGGACTAGCTACTTAATCAGTTGTTATAGTTGCCACCCCTTCCATGGGATGGCTGCTGCTTTGTACGGAAACACTGAAGCAGAAGAAACGCCGGTTGCCCAGCAGAAGTCAAAAGCCCAGGCTTATGGATCCTGCCTGGCAAGTTGTCTTGGCAAATCCCCAGAACCACACAACAAAGTAAAGCCAGCCCAGTTTCTCAGAAGGTAACAGAAGGCAGATAGTGCACATATTTCATTAGAGAGGATGTTTCTTTTTCCAAATATTGTATTAAGATAGTGCCCTGTTTGCCTATTTCTGTCGACATCTGCTCTCTAATACAGAGAATGATAGAAGATCAAAGATTCAATTGTGCAAGAAAAAGAACATCTTAATAACATTCTTTATGTCCTACAGCAACAGAGATCGACTTAAAAAAACAACAACAACAACAACAACAACAAAAAAACAACAGCTAAGAGAACAGGATATTCATACAAAGACGTTCTAACAGAAGAAAAGCATGCAGAACTACCTCTAGTGGATAAACAAACTAGGATCCCTGTTTGCAGACTGTTCTCTATTGAGCTCAGTCCTCAAAGCCTCTCTGGCTTGGTCGACAATGTTTAAGTATATCTCAGCTGGGTTCCATATTTTTATATGGAACCCCCTCAGCATGCTTTGTTCATCAGAACTTAAAACATCGGGAAATGGAGCAGGTGCATCTTTAAGGCTCATTTTGCTTCCAGCTGTTTCAGATGCTACCTGGGAGAAAGTGAGAGGCAAGTCATTTAAGAGTAGACTTTTTTGTTTGTTTGTCAGTGATTTTCCTTCAAGTTCCTCCTTTCAAGTCATCAGTGCCTTCTAAAGATTCAGTCCCCCACCTCCTCTGTCTATAAAGAAATAATTTGGTATGCATTTTAACTCCTTCCCAGTCTTCCTCTGGGCTAGGGCTCTGCCCATCTGCCCTGTCTTTGGAAGTGAGAAATTAAAGCCACACAAAACAGCCACTCAGTTCTCCCAAACACTTCCACAGTACCACAGCAGAAGAGACACTGTTTCACTGTGGCACTGCTTGCACAAAGCTGAACATACAGATAAGTAAGGAGTAAAGTAACTCAGTGCCCAACAAGCTACTGCACATGGGGAAACTGGACAAGGCGTTTCATTTTCTCTTGTGTTGTCTTCTCATTCATAACAACATCCTTTAAGACATCTGTTAGAGTCCTGTAACATTAATGGAAATGGAAAAACTCCAAAGAGAACTCATGGGTTTCTGTCTTTTTCCCATGAACTGAACATTATGGAATTTTAACAGATGTTCTACTTGGTCATAGTTAATAAAATGAATTATGCAGGAATTAAAAATCTGGCTCCATTTGCTTATATAAGATCTCAGCAGCAGAAATACATCCCCATTAAGAAATTCTAGAGGATTTACAGTGCATTTACCACTACTCCTGTCTCATTATAAGATGGCAGAAGATTTTGCAAACCAACTTTCTCTTGCTGAAAACATGAATACCTTTTTTACCTGTTCATTGCCTGCTCTTGGTAGCATGATTCAGTTTCCACACCAGTGCATGCTGGTACACTTTGTCCACAGGAAAGGACGATTTTCACTTTGATTTGCTTTGGAAATGACATCATGAGAATTCCACATCTTTTCACAGCCTCCAATTTCTACCATTTATTCAGAGTCTTAGTCAGGCACTTAATAACCGTACTGGCATATTGTGCTTTGTCACAAAAAATCTCCTCATAGAGGATGGGTGCGTCTTTAAGGCTACTACTGCAAACAGAATGATACTCCATGCCTTGATCCCACTTAGATTTTAGGGCTGGTAGTTCAGAGTAGGTGAAAAAGGCACGGCCAAAACTTCCAAGCATGCACTCATGCTTTGTTCTCCACAGAGGTTAACTCAAACAAAGGTATGCCCAAATATGCTATCTGGAATTATATACATATTTAGCTATCTTTTATCTTTTTTACCATATGTCTGCACAGAAAGTTGCCTGATGAGGAGGAGAAGACATAAATGAAAAAAAAAAAAAAAAAAAAAGAAAGAAAAAATGAAATGAGGAAACAACTACCACACCAGAAGAGAAGCAGCACAACAGCTAATGCAAGTTACCTAGAACAGAGTAAGTCTGTCTTGAAAAGAACTACAAATACTATGGAAAAAAAGAAGAGATTTCAAGATTGCATTCCCTTTATAAACAATGAGACTCATTTCCAAGCAACTGGCAAACAGATCTTTGTCCAGGCACTGAGACCTGCTTTATGCAAGATGCAAAACCTTACCCTGATGCACCAATTAAACCTTTCTTAAAATCTGGCTCAGTAACTTTGTCCGTGCAAGCAGCTCACTGTTTTCAAAGCATCAGCACCCACAGCTGCTTCTATTACTTTTTTATAAATGAAAAGCTGTGCACTGAAATCCTTCTAACCAAAACTGCACTCCACTGGAACTAAACAAAGGGGTTTGCCTAAGTAAAGAACCTAAACGTACAAATGAAATCTATAAGCATAAAATTCAGCTGAGTCTCCATATGCTATGCAGCTATCAGGATGAGTCCAATAACGAATACAGATGTTTATCTGAAAATAGAGCCTTTCCTTAAAGAAAGAAGTGTATTAAAATGGAGGGGAAAAATATCAAGATTAAACATGGGGCTTACATTATTTCAAGCTGAAAGTTCAGTACTCAGTTCTTACTGGATATTGCTTTACAATATTTTGTGTCTAAAAATGCAATGGTCTTAACAGGGTGTTAAATTCAAAGACTGTATTTCATTTTATTTTTAAAAATATCACTTACAATTTGTTTCATTTTGAAAAGAAAGCGCATTTCACTTGGTAATCATTTATTTCTCATTCCATTGGACAGATTTACCCAAAAAGCAATACTTCAACACAAATCAGTTCTGAAGGATCTTTTATGAATAGACGTAATGGAGAGGACCCCATTCAATTTCCAACAAAGTGCTGCCGTTTTGAGAAAACAAAGTTATCTCTGCAGGGTCACACACTGTGCCATGAATATGATCTGCAAATTAATTACCACCCTGACATATGTCAAAACAAATTTTAAGGAGAATAGTACCCAGTTGTAACCATGTGTTTTATCTACCTGTTAGTATGCAAAATCTGTATTCAATGGCATCCAAATTTATTCATTTATTCAGAACTCCTCAGAGAAATCAAGATGACTCGCTGGCCTTTTTTTTGCCCATCTTCAACTGAAATCGGAGCGAACAACACATGTTTAGTGAGCCAGAAAATAAGTACAGGATGAAGCTGTGGTGGGGGTTGCATCTCACAAAAGCAGGTGTCATTTCTGCAAAAATAACTAATTTCTGAAACACTCAGAAGTGCTCAAATAAACTGCAGAGCATTGTCATTTCTCAGCACTTTAGGAAATACTAAATGCGGGATTTCTTATTTTAGGCAATATCCATCTTTATGCTGCATTGCAACAAGATCTGGCCTAAAAACAGTTTTCAGTATGAAGAAAGGCTTTTTAAAGTAGAGCTACCAAATACAGGCTGAAAAGCCTCTGCAGTTAGCTTTGTGATCAATGTAACAGAGCCAACAGGTCTGGAAAAAAGAAAAAATAATCCAAATCTGACTTATTCGGTTGAGTTATATAAGAAGAGAACAAATCTCCACATTTCACACTGAGCACAGTAAGTAAAGAACACTTTATGAGAAGCAGCTGCTATGTTTTCAAAAGCAGCACCCCTTGTCTCTTTGTTTAAGGGCACTCAAGGTGCAACTTCTACTTTGTCAAGAGATGACCTCCTGAGATACGATCTTCTAAGCAGTTCTGGATGCACTGGTGTATGTTAATGGACAAAAGAAATCGTTGCACACTGACTAATATGAAACAGCCCAGAAAAGACCATGTATATTTTATAGAAATGTTACTGTTAGGAAACGTTTTATATAAAAACAAACAGACCCAAAACAAAGTTGCAAGGAAATCATAAGGGGTAATAAGATGTGATAAACAAGAGTTGTTAAGAAGTCACTCAGATGCCCATATTCAATGTCTGAAGTCAGAGAAGCAAATGCCATCAGCCTGCATGGAGACTCCTGTGGGGAGACCTCAGTTGCCACAGTTCCAGATACATGAGAAAGCACCAACAAAAGCTAAAGCTGAAGCCACAGGGGCACACAACCAACAACAGCAGGATCAGAGCCTCTGCCCACACATCAAATTCAGCGTGCCCAAACCAGGGCAACGAAATGCTACAAGTGAGCTTTTCTACTTCTTTTGTAATTAGTCTCTTCAGTTCACATAAAGTATCAAACACTAAGCCTGCAATGGGTAGTACATTTATGAAGAGACTTGAAGTTTAGAAACTATTTTCTGTCAAGAATGCCAAAATATTTTTAGCTCAATTTTTTATTTTTTTTCCCCCCCAACAGAGAAGTACTTCTGACTTTAAGTAATACCACATCACATCCACAGACTGGATGACTAATGGCATTTCTTTCACACATTTGGAGGGCAGAGGAAAAAGAGTGTGCACAATCCTTCCTCTATAGAGATGACAAAATCTCTTGGCACCCACTGGCAAAGACATTTGAAGAAAGTCTAAATCTGTCTGTGCCAAACTTGGCTTCACACCACCAGTTCACCATTCTTGGCATTCATACTTCACAAAATGCAATCACAAGATTCAAGGAAGTTTCCAGTACTTTATGGTTTTCATCACATTAACATATACATTTCCACACTGTAACAATTGAGCAGGAACAGAAGCAAGTGACAGGAGAGTAGATGTGTGTATCATAGGTCTTCTAATGCACATTATCAGAGTCTATTTAAATTAGAGGCTGGTAACTCACCTAGAATGAAATATGCTATACTTACAGATTATGGTTAGAGCAACTGAACTCAATTGTACTGCTATTACTTTTTGTTAGTAAACAAAAAAGCAAGGCAAAGGAATCAATGCTTAAAAAAGATAAGTGTATTTACCTCTCTTAATACCGTGCTTTTATAACCTCGATAAAGTCCTTGAATACCCTGTAAACCAACAAAAGAAAGCATCAGCTAGAGAGAATTAGTTTGCCAGAGACCACAATTTACTGGTGATTACAAAGCAAGTATTGCAGCCTTATCAGGTGTCAGACCTGAGCTTCGTACAAATTGACTGTATTGATTATAACATATTTATGTATACTGTATTCTCTTATTTAGAGTGCTGGTGGGTTTTATGCTCATTTCAAAGAGCACTGTCCAGAATAATCAGCGACAGAGAAGAAAATATACCCTACAGTTAAAACTAGAAGTGCAGGCTAGCACAGTGACATTACATCAAACTCTACTTGCCTAATGTTAGGCAAGTATCCATTATCTCACACATTTTGAAGCTACTCCTCTTCCACTTCAGTAGCCTGATGACAACTTATGATGACAACTTATATCCATTTCCTTGCCTTTGATTTTACCAAGACAAATACTTTGCATTTTTAACCAGCTGGGAACACAAAACAGTGAAAAATCACTTGAAAAGTACATGCACCATTAATATCTTATAGGACAATTCCTTGTGCATTTTTTCCAAGTCTTGCAGTTCTTTGGTCAGCAACAAAGACAGGGAAAAGAACACAATTTGGAGAGCACCACCTTCTAGAACAGAATGACCAAATCACAGAATAAAGCTCCAGGGATCCTCTCGTGCAGGGCTATCACAACAGTTTTCATTTAAAAGCAACTAAAACAACAAATGGACCATTAAAGAGTCATATTTATGTCTTCCTTTTCCTGGTTTTTCTACATGGAAATTTGTATAATGTATTTTCAGAAGCCATTTTCTTATGGAATACAACTTGAAAAATGCCCCTTTTGAGACTCATTAAGAACAGTGGTGAATAGGTTTTACACAATAAACAGCATAACTACTGAAAAGATGACAAAATCTTTTTTTAATATATATACACATTATTTTTTAAGTTATCAATGCTGGAAGGAGTACTCATTTCTCCTAAGGAGCTCTCTGAAATAGTGCCTCTAGAACACCCTCCCAAAGTCCGTTCTACATCCAAGACTCTAAATGCACAGACTTCATGTCCTGCTGTCCCAGACAAGGACCATTTATATATATCCAAATAGAGTTTCAGGATGCTTTTTTGCCCCTTTCTCCTCTCTTCTTACCTCCCATTGCCTCTTGCACCCAATATTAAAAAAAAGAAGAAAAAGTTGTTTAAAGTGTGCATGCTTAAGTGCACACACATGGGGGGAAGGTGGAAGTCAGGTTTCCTCACATATGCTGTCTACCTCTTTTACCAACAAAAGAATTGATGGAAAAATACCAGGAGAGCACTTCACTGGAGTAAAATTGAAGAAATCCTCCTGTACACGTATAGCATCAATGAGAAGAACGAAGCAACTCCCTAGAGATTTGTCTCTGAACTCACCTCATGGTACAACGTGTGGGAAAGAATCCGAAAGGTTCCAGCAGAAGGTGAAACCTGGGCCCTTTGCTTGATAACTTCAGATGGAACCCGTATGAGGCACGCAACCTGCAAAGAACAATAATGTTCAGACAGCAATTTCTTCTGCTGCCTCTTTCTCTCTTTCACAGACACGTCTGGAGTTTGTTCCCACTACAGAAACCTGAGAAACTGAGAAGTGTTTTTTGTAATTATGAGTTGAACTTAAAAGCTGCTCATAAGGAGCTGATGCATTTGTTCTCAAAGCTATACGCTTCCTGAAGAAACACTGTATGAACAGAAAAGCGTAAGTACCCTTGGAAATAACACTTCAGATTTTAAATTCCAAGACAGAAGTAGATGAAGAAAGTCACCGATAAAATCCACAGTTTGAATTTCCCAGCCTTTCAGCAGGCACAGCAAGTTCTCCCCAGCTTTCACAGGCCTCGTCTAGAGACTTGGGACTTAAACAACCAAACGTCCTCGATAGTTCCACTGTGCCCCCTAGTGACTGACAGCGAGAGACTCTCCAGTTGGTATTAGATGCACACAACACGTTCAAGGCTTAACACAGAACAAGCACTGGGTTACATTCAAAGTGAAGCATTGGACTCGTTCTTTCTATGCAATTAACTAGGGGAGGAAGGCACGTTTTGCTGGGTGTAATAACAAAACTAGTTTCTGCATAATAATATAACATAACCTAACTAGCTCTCAGCTTTACTGAGAACATTAGGCACAGTATTTAAGCATTCACTGCTATGATTTCAGGCTAGAGTTAAGGTTGTGTGAACATAATTTTCTGAAATGAAGATACTGAGATGCCAAAAAGTTACAAGCTTCATCTTTAGAAAAATGCTTGGTTACCAGCACACAACCCTTTAGGAAGAGCTGCTGTTTTCCTCTGATAGCAGAGATTGCTTCAAACAGTGCTGGGATTGGTGGCCAAACACCACAGAAACTGCAGCCCTTTGCCAGGCCTTACACCTCATCAGTCCCATCCCACATGGGGTCAGCAACTTGCTGTGCTAGATTTGGCTCAGAGAAGGGAAGGTGATCACTGAGTGCTTAAAATTAAGGGTCACCTAGGAGAAAACTGCATGTGTGCAATGGCAAACCAAGCCACTCACTTCAACCCACACATGCTGCAGAAACATCCTGCCACACTGTACAGATACACAAGTGCTACAGTAACTTGAATGATCACTTGTGAGTAACACAGTGTAAAGTTTAAGTTACAGTTTCACAAAGAGACTCAGAAAGTCTGTTATCCCTTTATATTCCTAGAAGTTTACCAGACAATATCCAGAAGTCATTACAAACAGGTATAACTACGGTGCTCCTCAATTCTCAGGGTCAAAAATAACAAGCGACCCCAATATGTCAGGAAAATAAGAACTGTCAAGTTCTTTGATAGTTCAGCATAAATATTTATAGAACTTCATGCTTCATAACACTTCATGTCCTTATATTAGCTTTTTACTCCTTAAAAAAAAAAAAGTGGAGGCAGGAGAAAAACTTTAAAAAGGCTTGGATGAAAACAATCTATTCGACCAAGAGCAGGCAGAGAACACAGCATGGCTTTCTGACATCTGGGGTGCTGCAGTTTTGGCAGGAGAGAGGTAGCTACAAAGTGATGTCTCCATTTCCCCCAGACTACTTGGGGAGCCTTGCATTTCAATTTAACTTTGATGTTTCTCCCATTTGAATTCGAGCTTAGAAGGGAATCTCTGGCTGCACAAGAACAAAAACAGCGATTATGTTGTGCTGTTATGAAAGGAAATAAAGGCTCGTGTCATCCAGGCTGTCAGGTTGGCTCCATAGGGCACTTCTTTACTAGAAAAGCCAGAAGCTGCAACTGCTAACATCAGGCTGAAGGGTGACATTTTCAGCATGCACCTGAACTTACAGTGTGCCACCTTATTTGTTTCTACAAGCGTACCCTACTACCAATAACGATTCAAGCAGCCTTTTGATGTTAGTCAACACTGGTCTTCAGAAGGGAAGTATGCAAAACTAATTTCACACATGTGTTCAGGCCAGGAGGTAAAAGAAAGTGACAGATCAGGACAGACAGATGCAAAAAAACTCTATTCCATTACACTCAGATCTGAATCACTTCAGTGCCTTCCAGGCAGCGCTGAAGAAGTTAGAAGAACACAAGCAATGCACATTGCTACAGTTTGCTTTCTTAGCTAAAGCTCCCCTAAGATAACACTGCACTGAGAGAATACCTATTTAAGTATCCAGATATCTGAACACTGTAAGCAAATTGCCCCTGTGAGCAAGGATGAAAGATACTGTGGAGCAGCCATGCAATGTATATCTCCACATGTCTGCTTTTACCTGCATCAGCTGCTAGCCAAATAAGTTGCTCTGCACATTACCATAAGTATAAAAGGATAAGATGAGTGAGGGAGCTAAGTTTCACTCCGCTGTAATCCACAGTAGATGATGCAGGTGCTCATAATTCAGGTGCACAAGGGCAGCTCTCCCCAGCCCATAGCTGCCCACACCTCGGGTCAGTTCCAACAGCAGGTGCTGGTGGCAGCCAGGGCTGCTGGCTACAGTGACAGTACTGCTCAGTGCTGCACAGAAACACTTCTGGAAGGGCCCACGAGGAGACAGAGGCTACCAGGAGCAGGGCTAGAAACAGACACATGCTGGACAGCAGAAACAGAAACATGGAAAACAAACAGCAACACGACCTCTCACAGTGGGAGCCCATTCACCTCCTAATCACTCAGATTCCAGGGAGAATTTTCTTTTTAAACTCCCAACCGTTCACACAGACACAGCCTGCGCCTTCACAGATTGGAACAGTACAACCTGACACACTCTGGGCATTCCTGGTAACTTCCTACTGCTTTCAGGGATGAGTTGATTAATTAACTTTCTATCAGACATCTGTGTAGATAGGAACAGCGGGGGTAGAAAATTGGGCCCCTGGGTACTTCAGCTTACATTAAGGCCTCTGACAACAGCATCCTATGAATAGGGCCAAGCTCATTCCTCCAAGCAAACTTAGAAGCCAGGCTCTCATCCAATCTGCTGAATGGAGCAGAAACACAGAATCAAGATCCTAGCTCAGATGAAAAATGAGTACTTCCCTATGAACTCCTTCCCTATTTACCAGGTCTTACAATACAATGCTCCAGTTTTCAGTCTACCTCCCAAGCCAGTGCACACATCAGCAAACTGCATGGGCAGGAAGGGAAAAAAGAAAAAAAGCTGAAGGATTTTTAGATTCAAGCTTGAAGAAAACAGCTTTGCTTCCAGCTGTAAATTCCAGTTATTAGTTTACACAACAAATATATAGAAGTGACAACATTCGCATCCATTATCTGTCCAGCCTTTTAACACTACAGATAATTCTGAAAAACAACAAAAACCACAGAAATACAAAATTCCAAAATCATTGTCTGAAATCATTACCACACTGAACTGATGACTCAAGAATTCAGACTGAAATCCAAGCACATTTGTAATTCACTACCTGGCAATGGCCAGTTTGGAGACAAAAGCTAAAGCAGGATTATTTTGTTAGCATTTATCTAGGTATTGCTAAGACATTCTATCTTCCCATTAAATGAAGGTAATTTCTTCTCTATCGGTTCTGGAAGAAATGTTTTAGTTACTGGATATTTCCTGCATGCATCAAGGCTGCCATCTCCTGGTCAGATTTATGTTGGAATCAGACTTTACTGGTTGCTCTGACTAGTGTCTCAACTGACCCCGATGAACATTCAGTGCATTTAAAGTCTCAGAAATGCATTGAAATCAACACAAAGCCTCTTCATACGTAATAATTTAAACATTTTGTTTCAATATATGAGAAACCTCATTTTGATTATCCACCTTTTGTCTCCATCCTTCATGCTTCAGGCTAACAACCATTTTCCACACGACTATATTTCGTGCATCACATTTATGCACTTGTTATTAAGCAAATATACTAGTTTGAACACTAACCCTGTTTGCACGATCTGCAGAGGAGATCTATCCAGAAACCTCTGAGAGAAGTCAGAGCAGGTGTTACCATTGCTATTAAGGGCTTATGCAGGCAATTTGGGTATATGCATTGCAGGTGTTACTCAGAACTGGGGACACAGCTGGTACAACACCATTTGCAGCCTTGTACCTCTAAGGGAAGCAGCTTGAAAAAGCATTTCCTTATGCAGCCTGGCACAGATCAAGCACAGCAGATGATCTGGCTCACACAATTTGAGACTCCCATTAAAGTCTGAGCACTTTTAATAAGAAAGATTATCCATACTCTAAAGACCGAAGTGCAAAGACCAACAGTGCAATCCATCAAGATGCTGGCATTTGATGTGCTGTTGGCTAACAAGCTGATCCATTCTCTGCACTAACAAGGGTGTGGGTGAGGATCAAGACCAAGTTTTTCCCACACAGTAATTAGCCAGCTTGTCTGCTGCAAAGGGGAAGAAGAGCAGTCTAAGGACAGAACTGCTCTGGAATTTATGAGTGCCTGGTGAAGCTTCTCTCAGTGACTCTGAGTGAAGTGTCTGACTTACATGTCTAAGTTTGCTCTGAAAACACGTGGTGCACTTCAGAAAAACTTTCCTAACACAGAACATTGTATTTATAAAGAATGTTCATTTTCCTAAGCAGGAGCTTTAATGATTTATCCAGGTGGAGGCTTTAATTGATGTTCACCATATAAGTGTAATTTAATGCTTCAGACAAAATTAAAGGAGCATACCAGGAAAGAGTTATTCTTAAGCATCATTTGCATAAATTCTTAATCTAATAAGAATCTAATGTGCGATGCTGTACAACTTTGTAGCTGGAGAGCAAAGACATTAAACTAAACCTCAGAGTACCTCTGCAAGATAATCATTAAGCCATTCAGGAGAAAAAGCTGCTGTACAGAAAGAGCAAGAAAGGGCTGTGACTTATCAAAGGACATACGTTTAGGCCACAGTGATTCTGGAAAGAGAATCCCACTCTCACCTTATTCTTGATGGCCAGAAAGATCACCTGCAGCAACATAATGCAGAAAAGCCAAGAAAACTGAACAACTCTAAAATCCAATTCAAGAGGAAGAAGCAGAGAATACTTTTGTT